AACTTTGTAATGTACTTAATTTTCACAGTTACACACACTATAGTTCACAACAATTCACTCACTTTCTATCGCGCTTAGACTTAATTGTCCGTCCCCGCAAGCTATAGTTCCGATCTCTGTGTCTGCTATCCTCGGTTCCCACCGACCATAATCGCTGCCTTTCTTTCTCTCTGCCTCCGTCTCTCTCTCCACTACTGCTTCGACTCCGTCTCTGCCTCGTCTCACTATCTAGCGCACTTATATACGATAATACTGCCTGTTCTAGAAACTTCTAAGACTCTCAACACGTGCTACCAGCATCAATTGACTCCCGCTGTCGCAACACACTAGCAAATCTTCTAGAATATTCGTCACGTGACCCTGCTGTCGTAACACACTAGCAAATCTTCTAGAATACTCGTCACGTGACCCCCACTGTCGTAACAATATACACACAACAGTACAATTTACAATATATTGTAAAATAAAAGTATATAAAGACTTTTATTTAAAGTTCAGTGTATGTTGATTTTCATTAGGGTAGGGTTTGGTGTGAAAAAATTCACGAAGTCTTAGTCTTCTAGAGAATTCAAGAAGATCAGAAAGAAGTTCAGGCACATTAACAATAGGGTTAATGGTTTTAGCTTGCAGCATCAGTACAGAAATATTTAGACATGATAAAGTACTAAAGAAAAATGCACAAACCTCTGAAAAGAATTATTATTTTGTAAGAAACCATTTAAATGTGTGTGGTACAGGTCAACTTCACCTTAGGTTGGCAGTTCATTGATTATTATATGCAACTTTTAAAGGAGAGCAGTTCTAAAGCTACTGTAGAGTTTTTGGTTCATAACCAACCTATGGTAATTGGTGACTTTTAGATTTGTATTCATGATATTAACTACCTTACTTTAGCTCTTAAACATTTTCAGGATGCAAATAAAATAAATTAATAATAACTTGAATTTTTTTAAAGTCTTAATACTATTGACTCTATGTATAAGGGTCAGTCAAAGTGTGCATTTTATGATGTTTTTACAGAGCTACATTGAAAATTTAACTAAACTACTTTATTATCAGCATATGTCAATAAACTTGGCATCAAAACATTTTGATATTATATAAGTTAATTCTTCATTTCAAAAGGAGATATTGAGAGAAATTCTCATTCTTCACTTTTATATATCACGTGACACTTCTTTACTCCAAACTGTCCATTTTAGAATTTCTTTCCACTCATATATTATTTTCTAAGATTTTGAGGACTTACACACTTCACATTAGATATCTCTGAGCTAAAATAAAACCTTCTGGCCTGTTTTTATCTTACTTTATTTAACGAGTTATGTGCTATAAACTGAGATTTACATGCCATCTTTAAAAAATGTGAATAATTCTCTCTGGTATCTACTGATGGGTTATTTATAACTAATAGAAACAGATTTTAATTTATTGCTTTTCTTGTGAGGCTGGCTCATTCTTATGATTGGTTTTTCATTATTCTCTGTCAATTTCATAGTTTGCTATTGCTGAGCTTGCCTTGACCAGGTAAGGAAATTGTTTTAATTCACATATAGTTTAGTTAGAAAGCCAGTTAAATTTTAATGGTTTTATGTTTTTTGTTGTGTTTTAATATCTCGGGTTCTAAATTGCATATTTAAAATAAAGAAAAATTAAGTACCAGCAACACCCCTTAGAAAGAAAAAAGTTAACATTCATTAAGGCTTTAAGAGTGAAAAAATGTACAAGACCCACATATAAGTATTAAATTTCATGTTTTTATATACATTTATATACCATTGTAAAAGTAACTAAAATATGAAAAATTAGAAACTTATTAGGGTAAATAAGAAAAAAATTAAAAATGCTTGAGAACATGAACACTCCTCATGAGCACAGCATGTTGTAATTTGGCTGAAGGTGCTGGTAACTTGATGCAATGTATACATAAATTTTCCTCATTTTGATAATTTGCTTGACACTAATCTATATGGCAGTAAAGCAATAAATCTAAATGACCGGGAGATTGGAATTGTATTAGCATTAGCTGTAGGAATAAATAGTGTATACTTGTCCATAACAATATGCAGTCATTCTAGGAAGATGGTAATTTAGATTTATTTAATATTTCTTTTTGTGGAGTAGACCAAGCCCTTATAAAGTGTTAATATAGAGTAAATAAATATATAGTTTTACTGGAAAAAAAAGTTATATTAATTTAGGAAGGTTCTAGAGGCTTTGCAAATAAAATTTCATGACTGTAATAAGAAAAAAAAAAGTATTTTTAATCTTAACATGAAAAAATCATCTTGCTCAGGCTGGTAAGAGTCTTACCAAAAATACTTATTTAAAAAAATCAAATTTTTGTGGATAAAAAAGTTGTAATGTTTACTGAAAGCTTGACAAGTGTGCACTCTTTCACACATTCCCGATTCTCAGATTTGTAGTTTGTGATGTCAGATTTATGCAACATGTTTTTGTACTTTTCTGAAACTTAAATTCTTTTTCCTGCTATGTTGCAGAATCTGCAGGTACTTTTAGTAGAGTCGATGCATGAGAAGATTATATACCTGTGGTATCATAAGCCAAGAATTGTTGAACATTTTTATACCAAGGAGCTTAAAAAGTTAATTCAATTTGTCTTTATTTCCACAAAAATAACACCACAAGCATCACCCGTGCTTAACTGTTATCTCACTAAATTAAGCTGTTAAAATCATGAAAAAAGTAGCTTTAAGGGTTACGTGATACATATTGTATCTGTGCATCTTTTCATCTCTCTCCAAGTAATATCTATTTAATTTACTATCATTCAGAATTTTAAATTTTTCAAATTGTTTTACTCTTGACCAATTTTTGAAATAACACCTACAATTATTATGCTCATTTTCACTGTCTTCTGTGTAGATAAGACCATTGTTCCTGATTAGAGGTTTTAATGTTTGTCAAAACCAACTTTTTTTGTCTTCATGGCATGTGAAAATTTCTCAAAAAAAAATCAATTATAACCACAATTGTTATGATCTGAACACCTTTTCTAAGCTTGCAAAGTGTGATTATAATTAATTAATCTTGTCACAGGAAGTTAATATTAGGCCTATTTGAAAAATTACATTCTTTATTAAGCTAAGTCCATAAGGGTTTTTCAAGAATATGAAGAATGTATAATAATATTTCAACCAAACTATGACTGCCATATCCATTGCTAATTACACGTACGTAGTGTGGTTGAAATAGTTTAGAAGGCGTATTTCATTCTTACATATTTGCTCCCAAAGATTTTCTAACATATCATAATATAGGGGAATTCAGCAAAGTCTTGTTTCCTGTAATCTTCAGTACTAGTTTTAAGTTTTTATCTATGCTTTTTCATAGTGCCTCACCCCCCATAGTGGCACAGTAGTAAGTCTGAAGGCTTACAGTACTAAAAACCAGGTTTTGATACCTGTGGTGAGCGCATCACAGATAACCCAATTTTGTGCTTAACTACAAACAAACAAAACTGTTTCATGGTATTATGACAATTATGTTTAAAAAATAGGCTGTTGAAGGTCAAGAAACGTGTATAGTATGGAATGCAGGATTTAATTTGTACGCTTCTTTGTATAGCTCCACAAGAGAGAAAATTATGTGAATGGAATCAACATAGAAAAGATGTCTGTTAAAGATGATGAGGAATCTGAAGATATCAACATGTTGTCAAGTTCCCTTGAGGCTGAAGAAAGGTTGTTTGCTACCTTCCAGTAACATCAATAAAGTTGTATGCTCTTAAATTTTAGTTGCATTGTTGTATGAATATTTATTGTAAGAATAGTATTAGCTATTAATGTATTGTTTTTAGACTGATAATGTAATTTCATTGATATTCGCAATATCACTTAGGTACTGTTCACTGATTTATTCTAGGTATTTTCTTGAGAAAAAACTTGATGCACGAAAGAAATCTCTTAAAAATAGTAGGAGTGAATGGATATTTCAAATTTGTATATTTTAGTTTCAACTAATTTAACTATATTTGATTAACAAATAACCTGTAATAGTCTTTGTTAATCACTTTTAAAATACATTAAGAGTGAGATTTTAATAATATAAGCATAATTAGTTATAATTTTTTCCATGAAAAACTGAGAATGGTAAACACCAGATACAAAATCAAAATTGTCTTGCATATTTGCTAAGTTTAAATAGTTCAAAGATCTCAAAAATCGCAAATATTTTTTGAATAATCTCTTAAATAAATTTCAAACATTTCTCTTTCAGTAAAACTTTATATTTTATCTGTTATTTTCTATACTGTAACTCTATACAAGACTGGTCAATTCGACTAACCTCATAACCACCAAAAAAATTTAAATAAATTTAAATTACTCTTTTTTTTCTTACTAGAATGACTTCAAATTGTAACATAAAACTACATTCATTTATCCTAAGTAGCTTTAAACTTGTAACAGTATACATCTATTTATACTTAAATTTTATTGTTTTATTGCCCTTTGAGCTGTGTCTAACTACTATTTGTGCCATTATCAGTTGTAAATCACTTGGGGAACTTGGAGGTGTGTTACACTATTGAATTACATTACCCATGAGCTGCTCACATGCCTGCCTCATGAAACATTTTTATTATATTATTATTATTTATTTTACCTTATATAGCCTTAACTAACCTAAAGAGATCCCTA